AACTCCCAGAATTCCATAATGTTCCATTAAGACTTGTGGACTTCTGGGGAATTCTGGGAGTCGAAGTCCACGAGTCTTGAAAGTTTTCCAGGTTGAGATCCCTGGAAAGGTTTTTGGGTCAGCACCCAGGAAGACACAATGGGGGTGAATCCGTTGCAGGGGTCTCCTCCGCAGAGGGAAGGCGGGGGCCAGGAGATTTGGGGGGGGGGCCTTGCTGTGTGGTCATCTCTACCCCTCTGCCCATCTGCCTTTCATTTCTTTGAGGACCAATAACCTGTTTGGCTGTGCACTGTGAATTGTGGCTTTGTGGTGCAGCCGTTGTGCCCCTTCCCCGCAGCAGCCTGGCCAGTGGGAGGGGAGGGGGCGCGTGTGCCCCCCCTCAACATACCAGTAGCCTTGTAACTAATAAACCGTAGAGATACCATCACAGTTTTTGTCTCTGGGTTTTCTTTCTCCGGGCCGGACAGATCACCTCTTCTGCCAAGATGGCATAGCTGGTGAGAGACAAGGCATGGGCTTTGGTCATTCGTTCACAAGCTGAGTTCTTGTTAGGGATACACCCTAGCAGAATCTGCACGGCAGTCAGGCAGGCAGGCAAAATATGTGAGATAAAACGTTTTTGTAGCTTACACTCAGTGAAACAGATACACCGTACTAGTTAAATAGTTTATTCCAGTAGGAGTTATAGCATAGTCAAACAGTCCATATATCATTCACTAGTTCAGTCCGTCCAGGGATTATTCAGTTGCAAATTCCAGTGTCGAAAAAGAGGTCAGTAAACTTACAAATATCAGTCCAGTAATATATCTCCTCGCAGTAGAGATATGAAGAAGTCAAACTTCCTTTCTTCCTTCAACGTTCAGCAACTCAGCAGTAGGGAACATGCAGTTAGCAAACCATCAATCCATCAAACCAGCAATCGTCAGCAATCCAGTAGGTTCTCTTGCTCCCTCTTATGGCGGTTCAACACTGCACCCAAAATTACATGCTTTGCAGTTTAAAATGACACACACTTAAACTTACTATCATAGTTTTATTTTACCCAAACTATGTTAGGTAACCTTGTTATTCCTAACAGTTCTGTTGAATTTTGACTTTGTACTTTGATTTGACCCACTTTTCTCTCTCGGAAAATGGTGGCAAGGTTCTATAAAGCCATCGGACTGGAATGCAGGAAAATTTATGGATTGATTAGAGCTGGGGTCTCCCACCTTGGCACCTTTAAGACTTGTGGACTTCAACTCCCAGAGTTCCTCAGCTTTGCTTAAAGGTGCCAAGGTGGGAGACCCCTGGATTAGATAACTTTTACGATGATAACATCCCTAAAACAGGGGAAAAAAAATAGGGTTGCAATTGGAGCCTCCTTGGATCTTTTGACAGTAAGTTCCAGCAATTCCAAGAAGGCCCCACACCCATTTGCACCTCTCAGGTGGCTCTTAGGACACAACTGAAACCTCCAGGTGGCCTCTAAAAAAGGATGCCAATGACCAGCTGCCTGCCCAGAGGATAAACCCTTCCCTTCTCCACCATCCAGTCCGAGCTGAAGAAGCTTCTGGGAGAAGTGAAATGTCTTCAAAGAAAAAGTAGAAAATCCATTTGCCTCCTGGGGGGCGGGGGGAACAAAAAAACAAAACACCTTTGGGACAATGAACGAAGGAAGGAATGAACGAACCAACCACAGTCCCAAACTATATAGCGTCCAAGCCAAAAGGCCGCGTTCTCTTTAAGGAGAATGCCTTGAAATCTGATTTTCCAGGTCTATTTAGTCATGAGATACTTCCTGGGCCCCCAACAAGGGAGATAGAATAGCTGCTATTGGATCGAAGGTGGGCCCAGAAGGTGGGAGCAGAACCTGGGGTGGGGTGGGGGAGGACTGGGGGTGGGGGGGAGATGAACCGAAGCCAGGCGGTTTAGGGCGGACGTTAGCAAGAATGTTCTAACTTGGGATCTGCTGGCTGGAGGAACGAGAGCGGCCCCATTGTAGGAAGTGAGAACCCCCCCACTCTCCAAAGAAAATGAAATATCTTAGGAAACGTGGGCACTTTATTTTTCTATCTTCATTTTTAAGTGCTCTGGTTTTATTGTATTGTGAACAGTCACTGGGGTGCCTCCCTAGTTTCATGGTACAATGACAATAAAGTTCTTCTTCTTCTTAAAAATATTTAAAAGGCAGAATATTTCCCCTAAAAAGAGTAGAAACTCAGAAGCAGAAGCTCAACACCCCCAACACCTTTGTTCATAGGTGGGCCATTAAGGCCTGGGCCAGAATATTTTACATAACAAAGATCCCCAGGTAGAGCTATAGGAATTGCCTAAAGTCCTTTCATGACATCATCATCATCCAGCAAGGCTCAACCAAGGCTGGAACTCAGGTGAAGCCATGGGGTTCAGGTAAAGCCTACAAGGTTAGCTAAGACCCCGCCTCCTGGGAGTCTGGCAGCCAATGGGATACATTTCTGGCACAGGAACAGGAAACACTAAGGTGGGGCCCAACAGAGGTTGTATATAAGGGTCTCCCAGCATCTGGGGGCAGGTGGGGGGGCTTTTTCTCTTTTCACCTGGAAGCCAGTGATCATCGTTCTTCCTTCCTCCCAGGCACGGGGTCCTGCTGTCCACCCTTAAACCATCTTTCCAAACAGCCTCCATGTTTCCAGTCTCTTTTCCCCCACTTGGAACAGGACCCAGAAGGATAATTCTTCCAACACCAGGAAAGGAAGTTTAGCGAGTTGAATGTTATATTTACCGACAAAGAAATAAGGGTCGGTAAATATAAAGTTCTTTGTCTGTAAATATAAATTCAACACAAAAATAGCTTTGTCGCGAAAGCCGCTGCCTACCTACGAAGGGCCCTGGATTGGGGCTGAAAGGCGGAAGTAGGGTGCTGCATCCACCCCATATTTGGCTGGACCAGGTTCCCCCAATAGACTGGTCTGACCGGGGTGAGGGGAGGGTGGGGTGGGGGGGTGAGGGGAAGACACCCCCACTAGAGAGCTTCAAAGAGGCTGGAGCAGCGTTCAGAGTTTTTGCAGTGTTAATTCAGCGCCACAAAAATAAACACAGATGGCGGATGCTTCATTTAACGTCTTTATAAACATAATAAGTATGATTTTACAAACCAGTTGTAGATTTCTCCAACATGGAGCAAACTTGGACAGAAGTAGACATGTTACAGGTTCAGAACTTCGCCAGCAACTCAGCAGCTCAGAAACAGACCTCAGTTTCACTTTAGTTCAGCAGGCAAGAATTATACACAGCAGAGCAGAGAAACAGTTTCATTTTCACTAGGCCGACTCAGAGCTCAACAGAGCTGCAGAGCTTAATATAGAGCCACCCCAGGCTACTTCTAGTTTCAGTTTCCAAACAGTCATCATTGGCTGACTTAGTTGCTATGCCTGTTCATTGGCTGACCTTGGACCAAACCCTATTCCGGTTCATGAATAGACTCTGACAAAGAAGAGGTGGAATGGCTTACTTTCAGAAGCTGTGCGTGCTCCATTGCTGGAGGTTTTCAAGAAGAGACTGGCCAGCCATTGGTCTGAAATGGTCTAGCGTCTAGTGTGGGAATAAGGGCGTCCAACCTTGGGAACTTTAAGACTTGTGGACTTCAACTCCCAGAATTCCCCAGGCAGCTGTACTGTGCTGGATGGGGAATTCTGGGAGTTGAAGTTCCCAAAGTTGGACCGCCCTGGTAGAGGCTCTCCAGCTCCAGCAGTGGGTTAGACTAGAAGACCCCCCAAGGTCCCTTCCAATCCAGTTATTCTATATTCTGTCAGAGAATATCCAGTGCTCCGTCACTGGAGGTTTTTAAGAGCCTAGACAGCAGGGGGCTGGACTAGAAGACCTCCAAGGTCCCTTCCCGCTCATTCTCTTCGAAGACGCTCCGGTGCTTCTCAACAGCCCCTTGAAAATGGACTTCAATTCCCAGGATTCAAGGTTGAGAAACCCTGCTCTGGTGGGCACCCAGGGGCTCGATTAGATGACCTCTGGGAAGCCCTCAAACTGTGATTCTGTGTCGTCTCCAGGAACTCAGCTTGCCGGGAGGGAGGATTTTACAGGTAGTCCTCGAGTTATAACCATTTGTTTAGTGACCTCAAAGGAAGGACTTCGCTCAGAGGGATGAGGAGGCTGCAGGTGAAACGGGGAGAAGCCCCTTCCTCCCCCTCAGGTTCCCCCTCCCCTCCAGGCAGGGATGGCCCAGATATTTACAGGCAGTCCTCATTTAGTGACTGTTCCTCAGACTTATGACTGAATTTCCAACTTACGACTGTTGCAGCATCCCCAGAGTCACATGATTATAAGACACTTGGTGAATTGGCTCACATTGACGACGGTCGCTGTGTCCCGGGGTCAGGCAATTCCCTTTTGTGACAGTCGGGAAAAAGTAGAATCAATGAGGGAAGCCAGACTCACTTAACGACCGTGGCAGGAAAGGTGGCAAAATGGGGCCAAATTCACTTAACAACTGCCTCATTTAACAACAGAATTCTCAGGCACGGTTATGGTCATAAGTCGAGGACTACCCGTACTTTTTTCAAACTGGAAAAGCTGGACACTATTTTGCTGTCATGCAAGTCCAGGCCGGCTCAGTAAACCTGAATAGGGGGTTGGACTAGAAGACCTCCAAGGTTCCTTCCAGCTGTCAACTCGTCAATTCCCTCCCTTGCCTCCATTCGCTGGCTCGCTCGCTCTCGGGCAGGAGAGGGTTAAACAAAAAGCGCTCAAAGGGAGGCTGCTTGATTTATCCCTTTTCGGTTGCCGTACGGAAGGCGGGGCCTCTCTTTGCTAGTTGCGGGCTCTGGAGGCAGCCTAATAAATTCCTCCGAGCCCCGCCCAGCCCCGTCCGCTTTCCCTCCCTGCCCTTCCTTAAGATGGGCAAACGCTCCTTCACGCGGCGTGTGTCCTTTCGAGCCTTTGATTGGACGCTCCCGCTTGCCGATCAGACGAGGCTCGTTTCCGTTGGCTGGCTCTCGTTCCAAGCATCGTAACTCCGCCCCCGCGCCGGCCGGGCTCGAAGGCGGCTTCCGCGCGGAGCGATGGCGGCCGAGGCGAGAGGCGCGGCGGCTCGGGATGCGGCAGGTGCGGAGCTGGGGGCGGGTGGGGGTGGTGGTAGTCTGTAGGGGGGGCTCCTGTGACCCTCCCCGCGCCGGGTCCCCTTGGCGGGGGCTCGGGGTCCCCCCTTGCCCACTGTGGCGGGTCCTGCGGAACTCCCCGCCACGGGCGAGGCGGGAATGAACGGGGGCTTCCCTTTCCCGCCCTGCAGAGAAGGCGCGGGGCAAGCAGGCCTCCCTCTCCTTCGCCGCCATGGCCGTCCTGGTGGGGCTGCCCCTCTGGTGGAAGACGACCGAGACCTACCGGGCGGCGCTGCCGGACTCCGAGATCGCCGCGCTGGACGCGCTTCTGGTGAGAAGGGACTCCCGGCCCCATCAGCCCCGGCCTTTCGGTGGCTGTGGGCGATGGGAGTTGTACTCCAGGACCCCCTGGGGCTGGCTGCTGCGCTGGAGGCGGGCAGCTTTCGAACTCCGCTCCCTGTCCAGCCTGCCCTTTGACCCCGAAGGACTGACCAGGGACTGACTCACCCCTTCTGGCTGTGGCTTAGATTGAGACATTTGGAGGGACACGCTCCCCAAAACAAGCCGCAGACTCAGATTACAGATGAACAGAGTTGGAAGGGATTTTGGAGGTCATCTAGTCCAACCCCCCCACCCAAGCGGGAGACCCTACACCATTTCTGACCAATGGCCGTCCAGTCTCTTCTTGGAAGTCTCAAGGGATGAAGCTCCCACAACCTCCGAGGGCAACTTCTCTTGCATGGGTGGATTGTTCTCATTGTCAGAAAGTTTCTCCTTATTTCCAGGTCGAATCTCTCTTTGTTCAGTTTCCATCCATTCTTCCTTCTCTGGCCTTCGGGTGCTTTAGACCAGGGGTTGCCAACCTTTTGGACCTCAGGGACCACCAAACTCATAATTTCAGATCCCAGGGACCACTAACTGGTTCTGTGGGCGTGGCCTAGTTTGTGGGTGTGGCTTGGTCGTGTGACTGGCTGGGCATGTCTTGTATGTAAATATCATAAGTATTTATATAAATATTGAATTTTTTATTAAAAAAGAGCAACTTTTACCCAAAATCAGGCAAAGCAGGCAGGCAGATTTGAGTTGCTCACAGAATCACAGATTCATTCAGAGATCTATCTATCTGCCATCGGTGGGCTAGCTCAGTCTGTCACATAAAATTTGCTTGCAAGCAAACTCATAAAATTTGCTAGCAAACAAACTCACAAAATTAACTCACAACACACCATGTATGTAAATATTGAATTTTTTTATTAAAAAAGCAACTTTTATCCAAAATGAGGCAAAGCAAGCAGGCAGATTGAGTTGCTCACAGAATCACAGAATCAGTGATCAATCTATCTGCCATCGGCTAGCTCAGTCTCTCAAATTTGCTTGCTTTGAGTCTGCACTGAATTTGCTTGCAAGCAAACCTTCAGTCCTAAGGGAGTTTGGCTGTGCTTAGCTAGAAAGCAAGAAATCCAATCATTTCCTGCTTCCTAGCTAATCTAAATCTCCCGGCACAGCAGAACAGAGGATGGTTGGAAAAAGGAAAAATAGCAACTTAGCAGACAAGTTTGCCGGGTAAGGAGTGAGTGAGCGGGGAGGGTTTCTGCAGGCCATGTGGGCTGAGCAGCCTTGTGTTTCTGCGCAGCCTGGATTAATTGCTTTGGGGGGAGGGTGCTCTTGGGGTGAGATTTTTCTGAGGCCCACCAAAATTTTCTCACAGCCTACCAGTTGGCGACCGCTGCTTTAGAAAATAGCTTCACCCCCTCCTCCTCTCTGTGGCAGTCCCTCCCTCAAATATTGGAGCACTGATCTCCTGTCTCCCCTGGTCCTTCTCTTCCCTAGACCAGCCAGGCCCAGTTCCTGCAACCGTCCATCGTATGTTTTAGCCTCCAGTCCCCTCATCATCCTGGTTGCTCTTCTCTGCACTTTTTCCAGAGTCTCAACCTCTTTTTTATAATGTAAAAAAAAGATGTTGAGACTCTAGAAAAGGTGCAGAGATGAGCAAGACTGGCCGTCCTAGACAGAAGATAATTCCCCTCGTGGGTGTGAAGCCACACTCCTTGTTTAAACCTAATATCCTCAACCCGGAAGCCCTCTTACACGTCTTGGACAGCAGCTTTGAGGATTCCTGGCTGGTTTAAGGGCAGGGACCCGGGGGTCTTCCGCGTGTCGTTGTGCCTCTTTTTGGCTCATGGGGCGCGCTCTGATTCAGTTCCAGCTGACGGTGCCCGTCTCGGTGGTGTTTGCCCAGGGGGTCCTCCCGAAAGACCAGGAGCACAAACTCCCCTTCCAGCAGGTGCAGGAGACGGAGATCCCCTTGAATGGTAAGGGGTTCTAGGTGGGCGGGGGTGGGTGGGGGTACTTCTGGGCTGGGGCTGGCGTGGCACATAAGCCTTCACAGATGGCCTTTCAGCCAGCGCTGCAGAGCTGAGCCGTGGTGTGAGGCCAGGCTCCCCTGGTCTGGTGCTCGAAGTGGCTGGGCCACGTGGGCTTTGGATTTGGGGCCAGCCATCCCAGAGAGAGAGGGAGAGAGAGAAAGAAAGACAAAAAAGGAGGGAGAAAGAGGAAAGGAGAAAAAGAGGGAAAGAAAGGAAAAGAAGAAAGAAAGAAAAGGAAAAGAAGAAAGAAAGAGAAGAAAAGGTAGAGAAACAGAGATAGAAAGAGAAGAGAGAAAGAAAGAGTAAAGGAGAGAAAGGGAAAGAAAGGAAAAGAAGAAAAGGTAGAGAAACAGAGATAGAGAGAAAGAGAAGAGAGAAAGAAAGAGGAAAGGAGAGAAAGAGGGAAAGAAAGGAAAAGAAGAAAGAAGGAAAGGTAGAGAAAGAGAAAAAAAGGGAAAGAGAGAAAGAGAAAGAAGAGAAGAAAAAAGTCAGATAAAGAGAAAAAGGGGAGGAAAAACAAGGAAGAGAAAGAGAAGGAAAGACAAAAAAGAAAAAAAGAGAATAAAAAAAGAGATCAGATAAAAGAAAGAGAGAAAGAGAGGAGGTCCAGAATAAATCCCCTGCTTCCATCTCACCTGGAGCGCCTGCAGCTTTCCCTGCCAACAGGAAGGGTGGCACCAGTCAGCCTGGGCACAGAGC